CCAAATATATTGTTGAACAGTGGAGCCAGCACGCACCTATGAGATTTATCAAGTATTGATTTGCATGAATATTTCAGACTCGTGCCTACGAGAAAAGTTATGGGCCATCTTAAACCGGTGAGCAATGTACCATTTGCAAAGTAGCCATTTAACAAGGTGCTTTCCAGCATATCGACCATTTTCATTTAAAATGTAATTAATAATAACGTCTTACTGCAGCTACACCAGGAATTTATTTCAAAAGGGCAGTTCAGGCTCTATTTTGATTGTCGTTTGCTTTGCTTAAAAAAAATCTTTTCACTGATTATTTTTATTAGCGTCCAATAAACACAAGTTGTCTTTGTGAGTAATCTGGCAAGGTTCTCCTTTGCCTCGCCTCTGGAGTGCCATCTAGCTAAGCTGTTGTAGCAACATTCATTAAATAAATGTCAACAGACAAGGATTTATGCTGCATAATAATATTACAGCTGTAGTATAACTGGATTTATTTTAAAGCTATTCTGAGGTTGCTTTGATCTATAAAGCAGCAACGTATGTCTCTATATGTCAAAAAACAGCCTTTGCAAAAGTACTTTGAGCTTTACAGTCCATCAACATTGTTCTTAGAGCTTTCTGTTTGCAGGAGCAGCACAAAGCGTGTGACTCTTACCTTTTTTACTTGCTTAATAAGAAATACACACAAGGAAGAAAACTGAGGAATTTGCTGTCCTGAATTGAGGGATGGGTTTGGGTATTCGAGTCTGGGGGGGTTACCTATTTGGAAATAGTCAATGCACATACCTAAGGGACTGCATCTCGTGCTAGGTGTTTCTCTGCATCCTGCAGAAATTTCTTCCCAACAGATACAGGGAAAAGTATCATTACAAAAGCTACGAGGTAAAGAAACCTGAGGTGTATATGCTCCTACTTTCAGCACATACTTTTAATAAGCCACTATAAATAATTTTCTGCATGTTCAGAATAAGGCATAGTAAGCACTTTTTCTTAGATGATTTCAAGTTTTGCACCTTTTAATATTTTACCATAATCATAAGTTACAAATACAGTGTATGAAAAAAAATCTGTTTATTGATATAATCAGCACATCTTTAAAAAACAAACATACCAATGTCAAAACACATTTTAAAAATCCGATTGATCATTTAGCCCTGCCAGTTCCTTAACTTCAAGGAAAGAATATTTAGTAGAATCAGAAGTATAATAATCTCATATGTTACTCCAAAGAAAAGGCATGTGGAGAGTGGCAGGCGTGTTGAATCTCTTGTTGGATTACAATCTACTCTGATATGACTGTAGTGAGTCAGGATTTTACTCCAGTAGGTAACACTGGGAGATCTGGGGATCTGGATATGACGGGAAAAACGCTCTAGCCGCTCTCTTCCATGGGCAGCCAGGCTTTGAGCGGCACCAAAATCAAGTGCTTGCGCCCTGAGGAAGAAACATCGCCCCAAGTCACCTCCTGTGGCACAAAAAGGATGAAGTCCAGCCCAGCCGCTTTCCCCGCGGCCACCGAGTCCCGTCCGGGGCACCGACATCCCCAGCTTCGCCTCTTCCCGGTCCTTCTCACACCGCTCGGGGACCAGGCTTTAAAAGTTTTCATCTCGTATTCTGGTGTTTGACGGATATGGCAAAAAAAAATGGCAATCGAATATCTCCGGAGATTTCAGAGGGAGATCAACAGCAATTGAAAAAAATAAAAATAAAAAAAACACAACAACACCAAAGGAGAGGAGAAAATAAAAATAAAAAAAAACCAAAACTTCAAAAGACTACAGCTTCCAGAAACGGGCTTATGTCGAAACCAGTATCCCGGCAATTTAATACTTTTCTCAGGAACCTATCAGTACATATATATATATATATATATATATATATATACATACGTATGTATGTATATATACATATACATGCAATTCTCGACTGGTTTTGAGGCTTGCAACGTCCTGACTTCAAGTGCACAGGCTGGCTACGAGAGCCATATTTCAGGTCAAATCAGAGGGGAATAAAAAAACAAATTAAAAAATAAAAATAAAAATAAAGGAGTGAAAAAAAGGAAAATAAAAAAAAATAGTGAGAAAGCCCAAAATTTTGTTGAGGTTATAATCCACCCCTGACCCTTCTTCTCAGGTTTTGTATCAAAGCTCCACCACATCTCGCTGATCGACTTCATAACCAGAAAAAGATTGCTCCAATTGTAATGAAAAGCATAAGAAAGAGTAAGAATTAGATCGCCCTTCCTTCACAAGAGACAGGTCCGCATGCACATTCCCCTATAGATCCAGGACCTGGCCTTCCCTGCAGGGACACCGAGTGCTCCGAGCTGGTTGGTTCAATTGCAGCTGATTACGCCCTAGAACGTACGATCAAAGCTTGACTTTCCACTAAGGCCGAGTTTTATAAGATCATTTCCCCCTTAATATTTGGAAAAAGAAATTCAAACTTTTAAAAATGATAATAGTCCAGAAATTCATTTTAGGAGCGGGTAAGGAGGAGGAAAACAAAACAGTTATTAAAGAAAAACAATAACTTGGCATGCATAATACTTCATATAATATCACGTTACAGGTTCGCTTGCATAACCAGCCGTACAGCTCCCCAGTCTGTTCCCGTCTGATTATTTTTCTTTCCTTCCTTTTTAATTGCCAGTGAATTATTAATCAATTACACAAACCGATCCAGTAAGAGATGGACAAGTCGAGGTGCGCTTTCCTCAACCTCTTCAGGAGACCAAAAAAAAAGTGGCAAATCCACTTGTAAAATACAGTGTGTAGAGTTACATATATATGTGTATATATAAAACCGTGTATTTTAGCCGATAACTTGCCAGGGAAATAAAACGAAAACAAAGAAACCAAATCCTCACAGCTCGGATTTCAGCAGGGCGAATTCTTTCCAACAATTTGCCTTCAAGTTGTTTCAAATCAAAACTTCTGCATCGAGAAGGACCAGGGGGCACCGGCACATGCTTGGGTATCGGTAGTATGGAAATGAGAGTAACGATGGGAGGGGGATATGTACGGATTAAGAGGCTAAAACAAAGGGCCCTGGAGAAGCTGCTGGAGGCCGGGATCAGCAGGGTTCCCCGCTCTGCACGGAAAGCCGCTGGGGCAGCGGGGACGCCTAAAGGTTCCCCCGGTAGGAGCGCTGGCCCGGGCCACCAGAGGTCCCGGGGAAGGTCTCCTGGCCGCGGCGGGGGTCCCGAGGTTTGGCCGCCCGTGGGGTGGGGGCGGCGCTGCCGGAAAGCGCCGGCTGTTCCCGTACATTCGTGTCACGCTCGGCACCTCTGCGGCTTGCAGGAGGAAGGGCCGGGGGAGCCTGTTGTCCCCCGGAAAACGCCGGTCTGTGTCACCCCGGGGCAGGGGCGGCGGTGAGGGGTTTGCCGCTGCCACGGGGCTGGATTTTCTTTGGATGCGCGGCGGTGGAAGCCCCGCCGACCTGATCCCGATGCATGGCTGGGGTCTTTCAAGTCCTTTCGGCTACCTCCGGGTTGCCGCACGTCGCTCCGAGTTAACCCCGAGAGTAAGTCTATTGCACGTTTAAAAAAAAAAAAAAATCAAAAAGCAGAAAATCAAGAAACGTGTAAGTTGAAAATAAAAAGTCCGTGGAGGAAGGGGGGTGGAGCTGGAAGTCGAGGGAGGGGGCGAGGGGGCCGCGGTCCCGACGGAGGTGGGCGCTCAGACGAGTCCTGTCATCTGCGACCTTAGGAAAGGGAGGGAGGCGGCGGGGAAGGTGCCCAGGGGGTAGCTGACGCCGCTGGAGAAGCCCACCAAGGGGGGCGACATGTGGGGCAGGGTGAAGCCCAAGGCGCTCGCCGGCGAGTTCTCGTGGTACAAAATGGGGACCCGCACTATCCTTTGGGCGGCGTGGGAGAGGTTGGCCGCTTCCAGGTCTGCGGCCAGCTGCCGCTTCCACTTGTTGCGGCGGTTCTGGAACCAGATCTTCACCTGGGTCTCGGTGAGGTGCAGCGAGGCGGCCAGCCCGGCCCGCTCGGAGCTGCTCAGGTAGCGCTTCACATCGAAGGTGGACTCCAGCTGGAACACCTGGCTGCGGCTGAACACCGTGCGCGTCTTCTTCTTGCGGCCGGCGGCGCGCTGCTCCGGCTCCCCCGGCTCCTCGCCGCGCTCCTCCTCCTCCTCTCGGCCGCCGGGCCCCGGCCGCCCGCCCGCCGGGCCTCTCGCCGCCGCCCGCCCGCTGCCAGCCCGCTCCGCCGGCTCTTCGGGCAGCTCGGGCGAGTCCCGGTCGCTGGCTGCAAAGAGAGGCACAGGGCTGCTGCGGGGATCGAGGGAACGGGGGCATCCGCAGCGCCCCCGCCCCGCTCACCGCCAGGGGAAAACAACGCGGCTGCGGGGAGAGCAGGGCCGGGGAGCGAGGGGCCCGGGCAAAGGCTCCCGCCGCTCCTCTGCCCCCTGCGATAAAGTCCCAAGTATTTCCGTGGGTATACATACACATGCTTACATGGGAACACAAGCATCGTATTTTATATACATAAATATACTGCTCTACGGACGTGCTCGTGGATCTACATATGTGTGCATACATAAACGCACTCTTGTGTACGTGTATAACACACACGGGCTGATTTCAAACCATAAAACGCACCCGTGTATGTACACACACCCGTGCATATGCACAGAAGTACGTATGTAATTTTTATATATGTATGTACACACGGGAATACGTGTGACCTCTTATTTATATACACACGTCTGTGTTTATACACGAATGCACACATACATACTTAAAAGTACATTTGTGAGTAATATGTTGTATCAGAGGGGTAATCGTAATAGTGCCTCCGTGTGTATATAAAGAGGGTCAAAAACACCCAATAACTCACATTATTCTGGACTTCAGAAAGGTTATGGGTGGGGAAAACTATTCCAGTATCTGGGCGTATCTCCATGGAGTCGCCAACACTGTGTATTCCAATTACAATTTTAAAGGGGAAAAAAATATTTCCTACTCTTTATAGAATAGAGGGAAAGCAGAAATATAAAAAAAGAAAAAAAAAAAAGGGAAAAAAGCTCAGTTGTTTCTGGAGTACTTTGCTGTTTCTATATGTAGTTTTGAGAGAAATTACAAATACTAATAAACCCAATACTGTAAAAAGAAAGTATTTGGGTTACAAATCACGCTTCTTTTCCTTATTGAGCAGTCGTGAGATCTCTGCAGGCTCGTATAAGGTCACAGAGATGCGCCGATGCACAATGTTTGTTCTACCAGTAGATACAAAATAACCGCTGATGGGAGCCCATTTACTCTATCATATGTTAATTTCTGCCCCGAACCCCGGCTTCTGCTCCAGCACCCTCTCCATCGGGATCCCTGCAGCGAGAGGCCGCGCGGGGCTGCCTGTGCAGGAAGGGGCGGCCGGAACCGAGCCCAGCTGCTCCCCCGGCTTCCCAAACTCTCCACTGGGGACGGTGGTCCCAGTTTGATGGGGAGTCAAAAAAAAAATAAAATAAAAAAGAAAGAAAAGAGCCAGACCTGCCTCTTAAAAAAAAATTAAAACAAAATAAAAGGAGAGGGAAAATAGAGAAAGAAAAAGAGATGGGGGGAGGGGGTAGAAAGGGAAAGAAAAAAAAATCCCCAAGCAAGCCAAGAATCCCTGTTTACACTTTGGGCGGCGGGGCGGAGGCTCCAGGTGCCTGACACATAGGGAGCATTTCCGGAGATTTTCCCCGAGCGGCCGAAAACGGGGAGGCAGGGCGGGGGCTGCGGGGGCACTCCGTGCATCCCCCTCCGGCCTGCTCCGGGGGGCCGCGGCGGGACCCGGACCCCCCCAGCCCGGGGGGAGCAGGAACACCCCCAGCCCCAGCCCCGGCCCCGGCCGGGCCCGGCGGTGAAGGGTGGGGAAAGGAGACTTACTGTCGGGGCTGGCGCAGCCCAGGAAGGCGGCGTGTGCCCGGCGGTACCAGCCGACGGCGGCGTCGCGGAGGGGGCAGCCCGGGGCGCCGATGCGCAGCGGGGAGTGCGGCCCGCAGCGCGGACCCCCGCGCCCGCCGCCCGCCGCCGCCGCCCGCCGCGCCCCGCCGCCTGCCGTGCCCTCGGTGCCCAGCAGGTCCTCGATGAAGAAGGACGAGACGCGGGCGGAGGTGGAGCCGGAGTTTTCCGTGGCTTCGTCCGGCATCGTCGGAGAGAACTGCGGGAGGGGGTCCCGGCTCCGCCGGCGGCTGGGTCCTCGGCTCCCCGCTGCCCCGCGGCCGCCTCTCGCCTCTGCCTAGCCCCGTGGATGCTCTCCTGGTATAAAAGCGTTTTTTTCCGGAGTAATCATTTCAGATCGCGGTTTGCCATCATTTCCTGCAAGCTAGGAGGGGAGGGGGGAGGGGGAGGAGGGGAAGGGAACGGGGAAGGAAAAAAAAAAAAAGACAGCCCGACAACCCATCGGAGGCGCCAGATTCTGCGCGAAAACGCTAATAACGAAATAAAAATGTCATGCGAGTTAAGCGGCGGGCAGGAGCGGGGGATCCTGCGGTGGGCGGAGCGCCGCGCCGAATGGGATCTGCGCGGGGGAAACGGCGGGCGCCGGGCGCTGCCGGGCGTCTGCGTGTGTCCGTGTGTCCGTGTGTGTGTCCGTGTGTGTGTGTGTCCGTGTGTCTCTGTGTGTCCGTGTGTGTGTGCGCCGCCCCGGGGCCGCCGTTCACGAGCTCCTTATTTAGGTCAATTAGGGAGCAAATCCCGGTGCGGGGGGGGCGGCCCCGGCACACGGGCCGAGCCGGCGGGGCTTGGCCGCTCCACGTCCCGAACCTTCCATTGGCTGCAGCGGGCTCAGAGGGCAGCACCGGCAACCAATCGGCGCTGCGGACATCTCGCTTATATTAATATCATTAATATCATTAATGTTATTAATATCATTAATGTCATTAATATCATTAATAATAATCACTTCCCGCCCACCCCCCGCCGAGCGCTTTCATGTGGCGGCGGCGGCGATGGACGGAGCTGATGCGCCCTCCGCCGCCCGTAGAGCCCGCTCCTGCCGCACGGGCCCGGCTGCCGGAGGAGCGGTGAGGTTGTCTTCAAGCCGGAGCCCCCTGGCTGAGGCGTTTGGGTCGGTTTTGGGCGAGTGGCGGAGGCAGTGAGCTCCCGTGAGCAGGCAGCGGGGGTCCTGCCCGTGGAGGGGAGGGTGCCTGCTAGGGAAGGGGAGAGGACTCTCCTCTAAGGGGTCGCCCGAGGTCCGTTTTGTTTCCCTTATATATGCGAGCATACCAATACAGATATATTTTTATAGATGTGCATACGGTGTCTGTGTAGTTTATTTAGAAGGACTGACAGCCCCGCTCATTGGAGAAGGGGCCGTCCGGGACTCTGTCTCCCGCTGCTCCAGGCGGGGAGGCAGAGGCGATGCGCTGCCCCCTCCAGGACCCTGCCCGTGGTACCTGGCGTTCCTCCTCTTCAGCCCGACTTTTTTTATCATTATCTTACTGTAATACCATTCCGTGGGAAGCTCTAAAGTCGTCCTCCCTCTGCCCACTTTTTCCGACCCTCTGGAACCAGCCATGGGACATGGACCCCAGCAACCCCACCAAAGTCCTCGTCGCTGCGGAGCGCCGGAGCAGGGGGGTTATCCTCTGCCTTCTCCCTTGGGACTAGGCGAGCAGGGTTAGAGGGGTCCCTCTAACCTCTAGACTCGGTCCAGAGCGCACGTCGGAGACCAGCGGAGGTTTGGGTGAGTACAGAGCTGCCCCTGCGATTCTCATCTGCTGGTCAATCCTCTCCTCCTCTGCTCTCTCTGCCGGAGGATCCCTCCTTGCTCCCCTTTGCGGTACTCCTGGACAAGTAGCCTTTCCCCAAGCCCCGCCTCCCCCTCCCGCTGTGGAACGGAGGCACCGGGCGCTGCCCAGCGGGAGCGTCCGGCGGGGCCGGGGCACAGCCGGGAGCCGAGCCGACCTCCCCGCCACCGAGCGGGCTCGCCCACTTTCCCGGAGTGCCACTGAGGACCTTTGAGGTCACGCTCTATTTTTGAAAGAGCACTTAAAAAAAAGAAAAAGAAAAAAAAATATAAGGGAATAATTCCCACTTCCAACGGCTCCAGAAAGATGCAAACAGCCGGAGCTCCGAAATGGACTCTGGAAAAATGGGAATATATCACGGCACATTCGGCTTTCTCTCTTACTTGGGCAGAGACCGAGGGCAGTCTAATGAATTGTAAGCCGGGTGACAGAGCATTTGTCACTTGTTGCACAGAAGTGACGTTAACAAATACGCTCTGCACATTTTGCTTCTTCCTGCATGGGAAATATGATTTTGGACGATAGTTCTTATGCATTCATAAAAGGTCAACTCTATTTGACTGCCAGACTCAGAAAATATATGCGTGCTTTCCGGAATAAAGAGGAAAGTGTGGCCCGTGATTGCTTCTATACATCACATACACAATCTGCATATCTATAAAAGATATGCTTTTGTCCCATACCCGTATTTTATAAAGTGTCCCTACAGTGTGATCATGCAACTTATGTAATATTTTCTGCTTTCCACTTATAAATAGTTTAATAAAATCACCACGATTAAATTTGCTCTTGCTTCCCCCCCTCCTCTATATTTCTTTAGTATGACGTATAACTCTTTGGTGTGCAGTAATGCTGAACTGTGCTTGTGGAAATCATGCATACTCAGGCGTATTCCTGAAACACAAAATCAGGATGAGTATAATTCTATACCTGCAAATACAACGCTTGTCCTTGCATGTCCGTGTTTATCGGGGATTTTTTAAAGCTCGTACTTTTTGCATTGCTATAGAGACATTACTAACATTTCAGGCTTCTTATCCTTAGTGCTTAATATGATGATGAGAATAAAAAGGGCGTGTGTCTCCTGCAGCCATCCATCAGGGTAGGAAGCAGGAAACGCACCCAATGGTCCTTGGCCGCTGCCCTTTTTACGCGTTTGGGGGTCACCTGGCCGGAGGTGGCGGGGACAGAGGAGTCCCCGAGGGCTCTGCCCTCACCCCGGGCTGCCCCCGTGCCGGGCAGGGGCCGTGCTGCAGTTCCCGGGCCGTCTCCGCCGGGCTTCAGCGAAACCTCTCCTTCCCCCATTGCCCTCTTTTCCACGGCCATCTCCTCCATGCACGGTAAATATTTCTTTTTTTTGCAGGCGGGGAAATGAAGACTCTTTCCCTGGGCAGGTCCTGATGCCTCCCGTGGGTCAGGAGGGAGAAAAAAACCACGTATTTACTACAGAGTTGACTTCGAGACCTGGTTGAGACTAGAGATGATGGGGCCTCTTATTTTTTTCCATCCTTGGCTCTTTTTCTTCCCCAGGGACGTGTTTTTCTCCGAGGCGTCAGAGACTTCCAGGTCCTGCGCAGCTCCGCGAGGTGCGGGCCGTGGCCCCGCTGCCCGTGGGGTCTCCTCGGCTGAACACTCCTGGGTTGGTGCCCGCCTGTGGCCCGGGATGCCCGCGGGATGTTCCCCCGTCACCATCCGAGCGCTCCTGAGCCTCCGTCAGGGTTTGCTCCACAGCGGCTGCACGCAGAGGGCAGACAGAATGGGGGTTTGGGGCCGGGTTCCGTAGGGAATCAGCAGACCGAGGGCTATATTTGGGGCCGAAAACGCGTCTGACAAGAGCCTCCAGTGAGTGACGGTGCTGGAGGGCCGAGCACTCCCGGCGCTGCCCGGCCGCCTCCCGCATGGAGCGGAACGGCTTCCTGCAATGTGAATGCAATTACCCCGCTGGTGTTTGATGTCTCCCCTCGCTCTCCCTCCGCTGCCTCGATGTGTCGTAAAAAGAAGCGAAATGAAAGGCAGGCTTCATCGCTCGCACCCCTAACCTCTGCTCCTCTTTGCTTTTAAGGGCCGCGATTTTTGGAGCCTGGATGTTTGCGGAGGACTGCTGACCCCCAGCGCTGCGGGCAGAGGTGGCTTTGGGCAGGGGCATCGTGCTCCCTTCTCCGCGTCACTAAAAGCCGTGCTGAACACATCGCTCAGTTCTTGACACCTTCCTAACAGAACAGACTACATCGCTGAGGGTAAGGGAATTCTTGGCCAATATCTGCCTCTCTAGCTGCCGTGTAGATATATATATATATTTCTATTTCTACTTATATTTCTACTTTATATTTATGTTGATATGTCATGTATATTTATAATTTAGAATTATACACATAAACCCGCGTGTATATCTATCTATCTATCTATCTATCTATCTATCTATCTATCTATCTATCTATCTATCATCTATCTATCTGTGTTTGTGTGTGTGTGTACTTTAAAATCGTACAGCCATGTTCTGTTCGGGTGTTTAGGTATAAAAAGAGAACAAATAAAGGCTGCATTATCGTCTTCTGTACATAGTCGTGAGCCACCAAAATGCAAAAAACAGCTCCTAGAAAGCAGTGTTGCTTTTTCGTGTCCAGGGCTCCTTCAGAGGAACAGAGCTGGTGGGATGGTGGGGATACCTACTTAGAAGTAATAATAAAACAAGAAAACAACAGAATAACAGACAATCATCCCCCATAAAATAAAGATCAACCAGAAGATGATTTCACCCCCTCTAAAGCTCTGTGTAACACTTTCCTCTCCGGCTCCTCTCTTGGAGAGGCGGGGGCCCGCTCACCTTCCCGGGGAGTCACCCAAACTCTTCCGCCCGGGCTTCTCTCGTCCCTCTAGAGTTTGCCAGGTCCCTGCTCGGGCTCTGCCGTCCTCAGCAAGCGGCGAGTGGGGAGCAGGACCCGGGGGGGGGTGGGGGTGGGTAATGCCCCGCTGAGGCTCGTAGGGATAAGCGGAGGGGACTTTTCAGAGGGGTGTCCCTGCCAGCCCCCACCCCTGGATGGAGATCTCACGCTCATCTCACGGGCATAACCTTTTTGGGGTGGCCTCTGCTGCAGGGAACATGAAAAGGACAAGGACGTGGCAGTGGGAAACTTTTTCTTGCAGGTAGAAAACCCTAAAGCTCCTGAAGTGAGAGTTAAATAACACTTGAGTGCAGCAACACTTTGTGGACTCCTTCCTGAATTACAGTAAATTTGAAGGTGTCCCTGAAGATGGTGAAACGGAGCAAATTATTTTTCTTTCCAGTGTACTATCTTTATAAACCCAGCCCAGCTGAATTCTGCACCATCAGTGATACTGGAAGAGAACTTTTCCCCTTTCAAGGACGCTGCACAACCCATGCTGCGTCCCATGAATGTGTTCATTATTCACAGATAGTCACCGAGTGCTTTGGATGGAAACTTCCAGCCTGTGGCATGTCCTGACTG